CTTTAAGTTGTGAGGTTAGACAGTCAATTAGAAATTTTTCTTGTTTTTTGAGGTAGGCCTGTAGTGCTATGAACTTCCCTCTCAGAACTGCTTTCACTGCATCCCATAGATTCTGTGTTGTTGTATGTTCATTTTCATTGGTTTCCAGGAAGTTTTTAATTTCTTCCTTGATCTCCTCGGTGACCCATTCATTGTTTAATAACATGCTATTTAGCCTCCATGTGTTGAAATGTCTTTGCATGTTCTTGTTGCAATTGATTTCTAGTTTCATGCCATTGTGATCTGAGAAGATGCTTGATATGATTTCAATCTTCTTGAACTTGTAGAGATTTAGTTTGTGTCCTATCATGTGGTCTATCTTTGAGAATGTCCCATGTGCACTTGAGAAGAATGTGTATTCTGTAGTTTTGGGGTGTAATTCTCTGTAGATATCTATTAAATCCATTTGGTCTAGTGCTTCATTTAGAGTCTCTGTTTCTTTGCTAATTTTTTGCCTAGAGGATCTATCCAGTGTTGTCAACGGGGTGTTGAAGTCCCCTGCTATGATTGTATTGTTGTCGATTTCTCCTTGGAAGTCCTCCAGAAGATTTTTAATATATTTTGGTGCTCCTATATTGGGTGCATATATGTTTATCAAGGTTATATCTTCCTGTTGGATAGATCCTTTCAATATTATGTAGTGGCCGTCTTTGTCTCTAGTTATGGTCTTCATTTTGAAATCTATTTTATCAGATATGAGAATTGCTACCTCAGCTTTTTTTTGCTTTCCATTTGCTTGGAAAATTTTTTTCCATCCCTTCACTTTCAACCTATGTGAGTCTTTTGTTGAGAGGTGGGTCTCTTGTAAACAACATATAGATGAGTCATGCTTTCTTATCCAATCAGCTACTCTGTGTCTCTTTATGGGAGCATTCAATCCATTAACGTTTAAGGTGATTATTGATATGTACTTATTTATTGCCATTTTTGTTTAGTGTGGTTCTATTTTTCTTCCCATTTCTCCTGCTAATTACAGCAGTCCTTTTAACATTTCTTGCAGTGCTGGTTTGGTGCTAATGTATTCCCTTAGCCTTTTTTTTGTCTGGGAAGCTCTTTATTTGATCTTCTATTTTGAATGATAGCCTTGCTGGGTAGAGTAGTCTTGGATTCAGATTCTTGTTTTTCATTACTTCATGCCATTCTCTTCTGGCCTGTAGTGTTTCTTGTGAGAAGTCAGCTGAGAGCCTGATGGGGTTCCCTTTGTAGGTAACCTGTTGCTTATCTCTTGCTGCTTTTAGGATTCTCTCTTTGTCTTTAATTTGTGGCATTTTAATTACTATGTGTCTTGGTGTGGGCCTGTTTGGGTTCTTCTTACTTGGGACTCTCTGTGCTTCTTGAAGTTGAATGCCTTCTTCCTTCACCAAATTAGGGAAGTTTTCTCTCACTATTTTTTTGAATATATTCTCTATCTCTTGCTCATTTTCTTCTTCTTCGGGGACTCCTATGATGCGAATATTATTACGTTTCCAGTTGTCCCATAGTTCTCTTAAGCTGTCTTCCTGTTTTTTAATAGTTTTTTCCTTTTGTTTTTCTGATTGGTTGATTTTTTCTACCCTGTCTTCTAATTCACTGATCCGGTCCTCAGCTTCCCCTACTCTGCTTTTTAAACCTTCCAATGTGTTTTTCATTTCTGATATGTCATTTTTTATCTCTTCTTGTTGGTTTTTAATTTCCATTTGGCTTATTTTCAGTGTCTCTATGTCCTTACTCATGCTGTTCAGCTTCCTCAAGATCATGGCTCTGAATTCTCGCTCTGTTAACATGCCTAATTGCTCCACATTGATCTCATCTTCGGTGGAGGTGTCTTGCTCTTTCATTTGGCTTCTGTTTCTGTGTTTCACCATTTTGGCTATCACTGTGGGCTTTGGAGCCTGTCAAGTTCTCCCTGTGGGTGTTGGTGTTCTGCTGTTTGTGGCTCCCTCTCCTGTGTTTAGATGAGTGAGGGAGGACCCACATTGAACACCACTGTCAAGTCTTACTTTCCTGGTTAAAGTTGCCAGCCCAGGAAAGGTACTGTTATCCTCTAGCTTTTTGCCTGGAGGCTAGCAGTCTAGGTTAATTGATGAGTTTTGGGTTGTCAGTTGATTGAAAAACTCCCTCTGGTGCTCAGCCAAGGGGCTTTCCCGAGGGTGGGGCAGATGCTGGTTGTTAGTGAGCCTCAATTAGCACTTCAATGGCCCACAGGGTGGGGTTGGATCTCCGAGGGAGGGGCTGCTGCCTCTCCTCAGAGCCCTGGGAAGGAGCAATGTGGCCACCGTCCTGAGTGGCTGCACTCAGCAAAAACTCTGAGCGCCCTCCAAACCCCAAGTGTCCTGACACAGTTCCAGTCCAGTCCGCCCTCCCTCTGCCGGAGCCCAAGGTGAGTGGCTGTGGCTGTTTCAGCCTCTGTCCGGTCTGCGCTGTGGGCTGCCTGGGAGTGTGACCCGAGGGTGCTGCTCCCAGCTGAGGCTGCTGCCGAGCTGCCGACCGTGGGCTCCCAGCCCCGTCTCGCGCCTTCGCAAGCCTACCGGGATGGAGTCAGTGTCCCTCGTTGTATGGTCCTCGCAAGCTGCTTTTCTGTTGGTTTTTCCCGTCGATTTGTCTGTGTTATAGTTGTAATTCCAGTTTGGTTCTGGGACACGGTCTGTGTAGCTCCGTTCACTCCGCCGCCATATGTGGAATCTAATGACCAAAATTAACAAACCAAATAGAAACCTACTTAATTTCTCATATGCTGAGTTTCTGGAGACAGCTGGGGACAAATGAGACAGGCAGCTCTCTAACTTTGAACAGCTGACCAATTTGAAAGATAATTGATGCACAATGGCCTAAGGTATTACTCTGTCATATGCTTCTTCTGCAGTTTTAGATCTCTTTATTTGAGTTTTTAAAGGATAAAATAGGTATAAAGTATCTCCATTTTTCTCATTTTTTCCTTTTCTTTCAGCAAAACCAAAGCCAGTCTCTCATTTTCACACTTTTGTGAAGCTTTCCACTTAAATCTCTAAAGATGAAAATCATAAATTAATTTCTTTACCATAAATGAATTCCACTTATTGTGTCCTTTCGCCTGTATGATATTACCCTAACCTTAAAGTGGTCGCTATTTAAGTAATGAGAAATTATAGCACTGAATTTGTAGTATTTTTACACTTGATAGCATGTAATAAGATACCATCTGAGTCACATTACCTGCCCCCCAGCACTTCACCCCTTCTTCTTATTGCCCTTTCTTCCACCAGAAAGCTTCCAGGAAGTTCCAGCTGAGGTATAACTAAATGCAAAAAGACTTCAATTTAATGGAAAAAACAGCAACTAGATGATTGACAGTGATTACCCAGTGACCAGATCAGAAAAGCAAACTTATAGTGATTTTATTTACAACTTTAAAGCTTAAAGGACACGGAGTTCATAGATGCAGTCTAACAGATTATTCGTCTCCTTGCAGCAGTGTACTCTAAATTGGGTCTTCTCAAAACTCACTAACCAAATGGATAAGGTTCTGTTTAAGGAAGCACAGGAAAGCTTTTCTGTTCCCCTTGACAACTAGTTCTTCTAGGTGAGTATCTGCCTTAATGAGCAGAATTGTAGTAATTCCTTGTAATTTGGGTGAAGTGACTTTGTGAGTATTCCAAGTCATCACATGCAGTGTCTTCCCAGGTAGGGACTGTTCCATTTATAGAGGAAGAATCATGAGGCTTACTTACCTTACCTCTCACATAAATGCTTTTGTAGCTAGTATGAGAGAACCTGGGTTTTGGCTTTTGCTGTGTTTTTAGTCCTGCATTTCTCTACTTCATGGACTCCCCTAGGAAGTAGTCAGTTAAAATATTTTTCATGAGAAAAGTATTTGTAAGTACATGTCACCAGATTGTGTTTTAAATGGCAATGGGAGGAACACTTCATTTGTAGATCTTGACCCTCTGGAGGCACTACCCATCTTTTAGAGATTATTTCAAAAGGATATAAGGGAAATAGCCTTAGTTATTTTCCCCTATCCAAGTTTGTGCACGGTCTAAGAATGTATTTCTGATTTCAGTTTGACTAACAGACCTTTCCGTAGAATAGCTGGTGGGACCTGCCCAAACAATAACAACATTTTCATTTGGATGATTAAAAATACGAAGTACAGTGTTCAGTGTTCAAAGGTCAATGAAAGTACAATTATTAAAGTAATTAACTTGGATTTTTTGAAAACAATTAAAAAATATTACCTTTTATTCTAGAGGATTTCATTAATTTTTTTAATGTTTATTAGGATTTTTCTTTGTATGTGAGCTAGTCACAGCTGCCAGATTACTTAGTCTAGTCAAACTGTAATGGGACATTTGTCCTTACCTCGATCATAGCACTATAAACAGAAAAGTCGTTATATTAATTGTTTTTGTTTGTGTTTCACAATAGTTATTCAGAACTTCATATTTACAGTTTTAAAATGAGATCATTGCTTCACTGGTTACAGAAATAACTATTTCCTATCCTAATATTTTAATTATTGCAAGGATTAATGTGTTACATATTAATTATGCCCTTTTGAGTTATTTGAGATTCTGTGACTTCAGTGGGAATTGAGCCCAGTTGTCAGAATTTATTTATTGCCAACTCTTTGTGTGGCAGTCATCTGCTCATTTGTAAAAAAAAAAAGAGCAAGATGCTTTGTGTAGACCTCTCAAAATGAGATGAAAATAATGTCTAAATATACATTATTTTGAACCCCCAAAAGATAATTTTCCATAAGTATTGCTGTTTAAAGTGGTAATGCCAAGTCATACATTAATTACCTGTTTTGTGACCAGTATAGTGAACATAGCTTTGGGGTTTGTTTCTTTTAGTTCGGAGGCCTGCTAAATATGGCCAGGACCAGTGTCATTCCAGGGCACTCTGCCTGCAGCTAGTTCATAAGAATCTGTGTCATATTAAAGAGTGAAAGAAATAAGAGTCAGACTTTCTGGTTAACAGATCATAATTGTGTGATTTTTCAGGTGGCCTGCTGGTAGCATCTGCTCATTTTGGTGCCTATGTATATGGAACAGACATAGACTACAATACAGTTCATGGCTTGGGTGAGTAGTGGTTCTAGACAGTGGTACAGTCTTTGCTTTTGTACCAGATGTGCCTTTAAAAGAAATAGTTTTATATGGCATACATCTATTTTTAATGTTAAAATACAGTCTTGTGGTATCATATAGTTTTACTTATTTTTACAACAGTAATATTTCATTGGGTATTTGCTTTTTATAAAGTGATCCAGGATGTGCAAAGTGACCTCCTGGGGAAACAGTGATGAATAAGAAAAAGCCCTCCCTTCAGAGGTATTGTGGTCTTAGTAAGAGAGATTTTTTTAAAAGTAGACAAACTATAAGGTCGCGAATGAAGGTTGGAAGAGAAGAAGTGGGAGAGAAGGACTAGTCATTTTACAATCAGCATGCCTGTATTAATAAAATATTTATTTAAAGATTGCTTGCTTTTGAGGGAATTTTGAGAAATAGTTTAAAATCTGGAAGCTTTACTGATTGATGATGTGTTATTCGATAGAAATGAATCAAACTGAAAAAGTAATTTCTTATAGCTGAATGGTATTACAATGTCAGGTTTCAGTGATGATTGTGAAGTTGTTTGTATATATCTAGTTAAATTACTGTAACTGGAATCAACCCTTAAAATACTCTTTTCCTTTTTCTTACTCAGTATAAGTTATTATATAGGTGAGAATTTATTATACTTTATTTTCTTTTGCTAAAGCAATTTGATATATTGTACTTGATGACCTGTCTTTTTTCCTATCTTGACTATAAGGAATTTAGTAGTATTTATCATAAGGAAAATGAGTTATATTTGATCAAGTTCACCTAAGTGAGTTAACCAGAAAAAGATTTCTTTGTCTGCAATATGTTAGAGTAGACATAAGAAGAATTATTCCAGTTTGCTTTTAGTAGAAGTGGTATATTTGCTTTAAGGAAATTGTCAGATGTGATTTATTTGACTTTTTATTTATGGAAGTTGTGTTTAAAAGTTATGTTATAACCTTTCAGTGTAGTTGGGTAGAATTCTGATGGATGGAGTCTCCTCAGAGCTTATCCAAGACGCTGTTGGCTCTGTCCTCCATTTCACATGCTTCTGATCTCTTACTGTACTCAAATATCCTCTAGTTTCTCCTATTTTTAAAAATACCAAACCTTTTCTGTCGATCCTGTAGGGGTCTTCTAGCTTCCATTTTGTTTTTCTCTTACTTTTACCAAAGTACTTCTCGAAAAACTAGTATTTACTTGGTATTGCCTCTTCATATCTCACTCTCCACTGCCCATTATTTGCCAGCTTTCTTGCCTACTGAACACTCTGAGGCCACAGACTTCCAGCATTTGCAGTGCTGACCTTCATAGAGCCTCCTTGGTTTCCAACACAGTCGTCTCAAGGTCGTAGTTTTATTTCTTTGACCGCCGCGTCGCAGCCTCCTTATGGCCGTGCAGGTTTCTCTGTCCTGTGTTTGCACATTGCTTTTCTCCCGGCGTCTCTCTGCCCCTCCTCCTGACACACTCTGTGTTGTGCAGTCATGTCATTCTGCTCCTTTTGATTTTTAAGTTTTGTTTTTTGTGAAGTAGATCATAATACAGAAGATTGTATAAAAATAGAATAAAGGTCAAAGAAACACATATGTAACTGCCACCTGGGTTAATAATGTCATTTGTTCTTATGGATTTAAATTAAGTTTATATACTGATGTCTCGTATGTGTATATATTCTGACCTGCAGCTGCTTGCTGAATATCTCATCCTGAATGTTCAGTAGGTTGCTCACAAACAAGATTGATGTATCTCAAAGAAAGTTCATCTTTTCCCCTAAGCTTGTCTTTCCTCTTGGTTTCTCACCTTAATTCATGGTATTATTATCCACTTGTGACTTCTAAACTGTAACTTCTGAACTCCTTCCTTCAGACCCTGCTGGAAATTTTCGTCTGTCATGTCTCCATTTTGCTGCTGTCCCTTTCCTGGTCACAGATCCTGCATTTCCCAAGTTAGCTTTCTTTTAAAAAAAATTCATTGTATTATAGACCTGGCCGGTTTGGCTCAGCAGTTAGAGTGTTGGCCTGCGGACCAATGAGTTGTGGGATCGATTCCGGTCAAGGGCACGTACCTTGGTTGTGGTTCATCTCCAGCCCTGGTCAGGGTTGTGTGGGAGGCAACCTGTCAATGTGTCCCTCTCACATCGATGTTTTTCTCTCTCTCTCTCTTCTTCTGTCCCTCCCTCCCTCCCTCCCTCCCTCCCTCCCTCCCTCCCTCCCTCCCTCCCTCTCTTCTGCTCTATCTGAAGATAAATGGAAAAATGTCCTCTGGTGAAGATGAAAAAAAATTTTTTCATTATATTGTATTTTTTCATCACCATTTATCCCCTCTGTGTCCTCTTCCACCTCCACTTCCCACCCCCAACATCACCACAATGTTGTCCATGAGTTCTCTCTTTTTTTTTTCTGTTTTGCTCAATTCTTTCGCTCTCCCCCCAGCTGCACCCCCACCAGAGCTTCTGATTGCTCTCTGTCTGTGAGTATGTCTCTGTTTTGCTTGGCCGTTAAGTTTGTTTAAATTAGCTTTCTTAGTTTCTGTTTCACTTATCGGATTCATCACTATTTCTACATGGACTGTTTGCTGCTGGAGGAAAGGACTGTGTACTATTCGACTGCGTGTCTTACTAGTAGTATATGTTTTGAACTCAGGAAGTACACAGTGAGTGTTTTAAGGCAGTTTTACGGGAAAAGTGACAGAACAATATCAGATATGAATACATTTTACTCTTCAAAATATATTTTTATAATAAGTTGAAGTAAACAATTATATAAATAAATGAAATTAAGATTTTTAAGTGAAAGCAAGTTTTATTTGAATAAATGTAGGTTTAGATGAGTTAAACATTACTTTTAGCTAAATGACCAGACATAAGAATGCCTGTTTGATTTAGTACCTTCTGTCTTCCTTTTTCTTTCCTTTCAGGAAAGGCCAGTAGGAAAAACCAGAAGTGGAGAGGACCAGATGAAAACATTCGGGCAAATCTTCGCCAGTATGGTTTAGAGAAGTATTACCTGGATGTGCTGGTTTCAGACGCATCTAAACCCTCCTGGAGGAAGGGCACATATTTTGATGCAATCATCACTGATCGTAAGTTTGCTTTTAAAACAGAAGTTCAAGAGTAGGATTAGTTTCCTAAAGTCATTCACATTTAAAATACAAAATTTATCAACACACACACACAACATGCCAACTTGTACGAGTATTTCTCCACCCCCGACTTCTTCATATAGTGGGAAGGAAACATGTGTGAACATAGGGTAGGATACCAATTTAACTAAGGAGTTAAGAGTTTACTATTTAGTTTTCTTAAACTGTGTGTATTAACTTGTCATCCCTTTTTCTCTTCAGCTTATTTTTTGAGGCATATATTTGTTTTCATGTTTGTTTTATATTTGGCTATAATTGGTTATTAGTATACCCAGCGGAGCCAAAATGTCATTTGCAATTACAGTGTCAGGTTGTGAGGAAGAGAGTTTTGGATATCACAAGTTTCCACGGGTGAGCTTTTGTACTTTTTGTGGCGCCTGTTTCCAGAGTTACAAGAGATCTGTGAACCACTGGGTTTGTGCACCCACTGAGTTTCAGGAACATGCATGGGAACTATTTTCCTGTGCCCCACCAGTTCTCGGGCTTTTCCGACATCCTGTGTAGGGACAGATCTGCCTTTTCTAACGTGCTCGGCAGTCAATCTGTAAATAGTGGCAGGTGTATCTCAGCCCTTCCTCTCAGCTCACATTAGTTCTTTGGTAACTAAGATCGTTTCAAAGTAACAAAAGAAAAATGATCAAGGCATTATAATGTCAGTATGAATATACTTTATGAAAACTGGGTAACTTTTTATTAACAATCTACTTTATTATTGCTATAATTATATATATTTACATAAAATACAAATTTTTTTCTGATGAATTGAGAGTAAATTGCACGCATTGTGCCCTTTTACCCCTATACTTCACTGTACATTTCCTAAGAATAGGGATAATATCTTAGCCAAAGTACAGGTTCCAGTTTCAGTAAATCAATTCAGTAGTTTAATCTACAGTTTGTCCTCAATTTTGTCGGTTGACCCAATAATATCATTTATAGCATATTTCCCTCTAATATAGTGTCCAGTCTCATGTCAGGTATTGCATTTTAGTAATCAGATCTTTTGGGCATCCTTTAATTTGCAACACTTTTACTATCTTTATGACACTGACCTTTTTGAAGAACACAGTGGCCTGCCTACCCTCCCAAATGCTTGAAATCAAATGTTTCTCCTGCTACGTATTCTCGGCTGTAAGGTTGTGTAGGTAATGTGTATCCTTCTCAGGGTGTCACAACTGGAGGCACAGGAGTCCATCTGCAATGTGTGTCCTTCTCAGGGTGTTACAACTGGAGGCACAGGAGTCCATCTGCTCTTCGCTGGGGATTAGGTGACTTGACTGTCTGTGTTATCTGTGTTTTCTGTCTAGCTCCATATGGTATCAGAGAATCTACGAGAAGAACAGGTTCACAGAAGGAAATACCTAAGGGGATAGAAAAGTGGTAAGTGAAAGCTAAGTGTGATGTGTTACTACTTTGAGAAGAAGCATGTTGCTTCTTTTTAATTAACTCAGTTTAACAGCCTTAACATTTTTCACTGATTTTTAATTTTTTTTTTGTCTAGTCCAGAAAGCCATGTTCCTGTTTCCTTGAGTTATCATCTGAGTGATATGTTCTTTGACCTGTTAAACTTTGCAGCTGAGAGCCTCGAATTAGGTGGAAGACTAGTCTATTGGTTACCGGTATACACACCAGAGTATGTAATATTAAGTACTTTTATTTTTAGTGTCATTTTTCTGTGGTGTTTGTATATCTGACATAATTTTTCTCTACCTAATTGTCTTTAGGATAAATATCTTTCTATTTAATGTTTATGATAGTCTCTGTTTACCTACATATGTATATAAAACTGGCCCCTTTCTGTTATTGATTGAATTACTTTGGTGTTTTTATTTTTTGTTGGGTTGGTCAACTGTGGCCAGTGGGCCACATGTGGTCCTCGGCCTGTTTTTATAAGGTTCTTGAGCTAAGACTGGTTTTATATTTTTAAAGGGTTAAAAAAACAAAAAAATAACAAAGAATATGTGACAGAAACATACGTGGCCCACAAAGACTGCAATATTTGCTCTCTGGCCCGTTAGAGAAAAAGTTTGCCAACCCCTGTCGTAAGCCACACTTGGCTCAGTGCCTGACACAACTAGCTAGCTGTCCAGGGGCTATTTCTCCAGGCCACAAATAGGTAATTTCTAACAACTTCTTTGAGTGATTTATGGAACTACTACTGGCTAGTTTCAATATATGTTGGCCATTATGATCACCTTAAATGCAATTAATCTTTAGAAAGCTAACATCAGTATAAAAGCTGTACATATATTTAAGGTCCTGATTATGTTCCACACTATTTTTTTTTTCTTTTTTTTTTTATCCTCACCCGAGGATATTTTTCCATTTTTTGTACAGATAGAGTGGGAGGGAGAGAGAGAGGAAGGGAGAGAGACACAGAAACATTGACGTGAAGGGACACATCGAGTGGCTGCCACCCGCACGACCAACCAGGGCCGGGGACAAACTGCAACCAAAGTACATGCCCTTAGCGGGAACTGAACCCGGGTCTCTCCGGACCGCAGGCCGAGGCTCTAACCGCTGAGCCAAACCGGCCAGGGCATGTTCCACACTATTGGTTTAGGTTTTGTTATTTGGTAATTATTAATTACAAGTAAAGATATGTACATCAACAATAAAGACCAGATGTCTTGAACATGATGAGATCCTTAGATTGGAAGGATAGTAGCAAGCTCAAAATTGGGCTATTTCTTCACTCTGCCATAGAAATCTTGTTTAAAAAGTATTTTAAGCAAGTAAGCTTGCTGCTGGAATTCAGCTTGTCTAGGGCAAGAAGCACTTTTGCATAGAAATAAACGTTTTCGTCTCTGAAAATATGAATAAAACCCCATCTGTCAGTTCACATACCAGATACCTGGGAAGTGACAAGATATAGAACTACGTGAACATAGCATTGGGAATGAAGAAACCCGTAAGCTAGCTTGCTTTTTACTTTAGAGAAGTCATTCCACTCCTTGGAATTAATTTTCCTTATTTCTAAAAAGAAGAGGTTAAATGAGATAAACACTGGTAACAAAGCCTAAGTCACTTTCAGGAGTCTGGGTGTGAATGTGTCACGTTATCAGCTGATAAACAAATACGTGGCCGAAGTTAGTCCAGGCCTTTGTAACTTCCAATACAATATTTATAAAACAAGCAACAAAAAACAGCACAGCTTCCAACTGCCATTATGAAAAGATAGCTTTAACACATTTCCAAAATGCTTTCTGTATAGTTATGTATCGTGAATGTAAGAAAAAGAAGAATTACATGTTATAATGAATTATAGGTATTATTCCTTAAACCCAGGACATTTTGAAAAGTTTAAGACATAGTGAAACCAAAATACTACCTAGAAGCTGAGTTATTTGTGAAGCATTGTTAGAAGTGATGATTGAAAACTGATTTTCTTACTATTGGCTATTTAAAGTGCAGTGAAGAAACTGCCACTCAGCAGATTTCTGGTTTTCTTCCATTGGTCTGGATGCTCTCCACTCTACTGTATCAGATTTTTTGCCAGAATCAAGATACTCTGTACAGTTTATATATTTTCTCCTTTGTTTATTCTGTCCCAGTTGCTTGATGTACCCTTCTCTCTTTAGCTGGTATAATTCTAGTCATCTTTTAAGGCCTGACTTAGTGGTCACCACACTTCTGTGACATTTTCCCAACCCTTCTCAACAGAAATATCAGCCCTTCATCTGTGCTATCATAGTTTATTCTTGCCACTCACAGAGACTTGCAACATAAAATCATTGTAGACTATTGGTATTTGGGGGTTTATTATTCACAATTTCAACTACTTGAAATGACCCTAAAGATCTATGTAGTATTCATTTGGACAGGGCATGTTCAACTTCTGTGTGTTTGATGTTATAGGAGTTTCTAAGCTACGAGTGTAGCTGTTCGCCCAGGTTCTACACATCATATAATGTTGTTTTCTGATTGTCACTGCAGACAGATAAGTTTCTTGAAGTGATCAGAAGCTGTGTTTCTTTGTGAATGATGTCCTTTAATAGAGATCCAGTTGGTAGTGCTCATGACAAAAATGCTTACAAAATGAAGAAGCCTAATAAGGTGGTGCAAAGTAGGATTTGGGGATAAAATTTAATTGTGATAAAATGAATTCTGTGGCTCAGAGCAGTGAGCAGAACATGTTTTTTATGTCTCATTTTTAGAAAACAGAAAAAAAGTGATTTCTTAAACTGTTTTCAGTAAGTGCTTCAATCAACACAAAATCTGTTTCTCAAATGGGAGTTGAAACTGTAGTAGGATTTTGAAATAGCCTGAGGCATGAAGATTCACAGGAAAATAAGTGACTTCCAAAATTGATTCATGGGAAAGCTATGGGCCTATATACACAGTTTTTTATTTTTATTTTGGTTTTTACAACAAAAATTAAAATATCATTTGTATACCATGCAAGTCACCCTTTTAAATTCCACAAAGTTATGCAACCATCACCATTATCTAATTCTAGAGCATTTTTATTACCCTCAAAAGAATCCCCGTACATGTAAGGACTAACTATAACTTCTGTCCCTGGCAGATACTTATCTGTCTCTGTGGATTTGCCTGTTATGGCTGATTTAGATTTTATTTATTTATTTATTCATTCATTTTTAATTTTTTTTTGGTATGTGCCCCTAGCGGGAACCGAACCTGGGACTCTCTCTGGTCCACAGGTCGACGCTCCAACCGCTGAGCCAAACCGGCCAGGGCTGATTTAGATTTTAAATAGATGCTTGGCTTGTAGGGGATAGTAATCAAATGGAATTAAGATAGGATGCTGTGCTATTATTATAGTGCAGGCATAGTACAGAATTTTAGCTTCTATTTAATAGTTTGCACATAGTTCATTGCTATGAAATATATTAGTAAATATTTAGTGAAGAATTTTTTTTTTTTTTTCCTCACCCGAGGATATTTTTCCATTTTTTGTACAGATAGAGTGGGAGGGAGAGAGAGAGAGAAACATCGACGTGAAGGGACACATCGAGTGGCTGCCACCTGCACGACCAAACAGGGCTGGGGACAAACTGCAACCGAAGTACGTGCCCTTAGCGGGAACCGAACCCGGGTCTCTCCGGACCGCAGGCCGACGCTCCAACCGCTGAGCCAAACCGGCCAGGGCTAGTGAAGAATTTTTAACTGCTATTTCTTAGTGTGGTATTTTGGGAGTATACTGTTGGATTGATTGGCTTGTTAATATAGTAGAGTAATGCTTAAAAACAAATTTGCTAATACCCAAATGATGATCCTTCCTGCTTGAACTTAGAGAGTCAGAAATATCATCTAAAACATGTAAATATATTTTCTGCTGTTAAGCCAAATACTGGTGACTTAGTTTATCATCTTCCCATCATTCATGTCATAAATACTAATTAAATTCTATTGGTTTTGTACTCCTGATTTGATTTATAAATTTATATTAGGCTTTATAGTCATTTAAGGGATATAAGCATAAGGGATTTATCTCTAATTTATGTTGGGGTGTGTGTGTGTGTGTGTATACATTTTTTTGTTGTTGTTGTCATTAATCTTCACCTGAGGATATATTTTTAGAGAGAGCAGAAGGGAGGGAGGAAGAGAGAGAGAGAGAAACATCGAGCGGTTGCCTCCCATACAACCCTAGCTGGGGCCAGAGATCAAACCTGCAACACAGGTACATGCCCTTGACCGGAATCAAACCCTCGACCCTTAGGTCCATGGGCTGATGCTCCAACTCCTCAGCAGAAGTCAGCACAAGTGTAAAAATATATATATATATTTTTTAATCCTCACCCAAGGATATTTTTACATTTGTCATCAGATAGAGTGGGAAGGAGAGAGGGAGAGAGAAACATCGATGTCAGAGACACATCAACTGGTTGCCTTCCGCACTACCTGACCAGGGCCGGGAACAAACCGCAACTGAGGTACATGCCCTTGACCGGATCGAACCCGGGACTCATGGGTCTGTGGGCTGACGTTCTAACCCCTGAGCCAAACCAGCCAGGGCATAAGTAATGAAAATACTTTGTCAACTCCACCAGGAAATAAAAGATTTTTGTTTTCCTTTGAAAAGGGTGCATTACTAAGTTTGACAGTTTTAGACACCTATAAACCCTGCTATTCGCAAGTGTAAGGTCGAGGCTATCTTTTCTCTCGTACCACTTTTTATTTTAATCTGTCAACTGTGGTGTAGAATGTATTCCTTCATATCATAAATGCTTTGTATGAAGACTCCAAATTTGATTTTAACTAATGCTGTAGAAGTACAATCTAGTGAACATTAGAGAATTGTTAGATGAGGTGAAATCTGAAATGGTCATTACGTGTTGAAAAGCCCTAAGGAAGGAGGCAGAGAATGACTTCAAGAGAATTCCTTCCACTGATAATAAAATGAAGTGCATTATAAATGTTGCTTGTTAAGTGGGTGATGAAGGTTCTGAGCATGTGGTTGAGGTAATGGGGAGAGTTCCTTGAAGGTCAGAGAGACCTAGAGAAGTCAGCACAAGAGGGGTGGTGAAGACAATGTTGAGGCGTTAGAACAGGCTAGCTGAGATGGTAGCCCTTTACATGAAGTGTAGTCAGCAGCTTCCCCATTTTGGATCAGAGCTTTACATTTCCCCATATAATAATTGTTTCCAGAGACTATCTAGAAAGGTATGTATATTTGCAAAGGAAAAATCAAAATTAGCAATCACAGTGTTATTAACAGTACCTATACCTAGCGAACCCCAGTCCCCATTATTCTTCTGCATTCTTCTCTGTAGCTATTTCCCCACGTCTGTCACCTATTTCTGCTGCCAAGATTGATACCAACAACATGCCAGGTTTTGTACTACTGCAGCCTGACTGTCCTGCTTTCTGGGTGTCATCTTCATTCACATAGTCCAGCCTGACTGTCCTGCTTTCTGGGTGTCATCTTCATTCACATAGTCCCTGTGCAGCGCAGCAGCAATTACCGCTGCTCATTGTCATGGCTTCCTTCAGTTCCATTTCACAGTTAAGGTGACCAGAGAACTGAGGTCATCTGTAGTGCGTATTTCAGTGGTAGTCTATTTGAATAGTCTTATACAGGACTTTAGCCCGATGTTTTTACAAAATTAATGGAGGTCTCAAGATGTCATTAAAATTTGTAGGGGCAAAATTTTATAGGGAAAAGTTCATACTGTAGTGGACTTTATTTTATTTTATTTTTTTATCCTCACCTGAGGACATTTTTCCATTTTTTTGTTCAGATAGAGTGGGAGGGAGAGAGAGAAAGAGAGAGAGAGAAACATTGATGTGGAAGGGACACCTCAAGTGGCCGCCACTCACATAACCCAGCCAGGGCCGGGGACAAACCTCAACCAAGGTACATGCCCTTAGCGGGAACAGGGACCCGAACCCGGGTCTCTCAGGACTGCAGGCCAATGCTCTAACCAGTGAGCCAAACCAGCCAGGGCTGTATTGGACTTTATACTGTGGAAAATTGTATGTCTCCTGATGTATCAGACTCTCGTGAATGTCAGGTTGTTGTAGAATGTATTTGTCTATTTGAGGTGCTCTTGTGGGAACTGTTAGTGTGAAATAGTTGTCACACTGGATAACCCCCATGACCATGTTTGTGATTTAAATTCTTGGTATTCTTCAATAAAACATACTTGTATTCTCTCCTTCCCATTTTACAGGTAAAACATACTGCTTTTTTGAGATGTGATAGAATTAAAATACTTTGCTTTTTAAAAATCTACATCATTTATGGGTTTTGTGAACAGTGTATATGAAATAAAACGGTACAGCATTGCATGTAGTGGGAGGAGGTCTCATGCACACTGGATAACCCCCATGACCATCCTGTGTAGGGTATACATGCTTGTAACAGTCAGCTGTTCTTTCCTCAGATACACTGAAGAGATGGTACCCTGGCATCCTTGCCTGAAACTTATTAGCAACTGTGAGCAGAAGCTTTCAAGTCACACATCAAGGCGCTTGATAACAATGGAAAAGGTGAAGAAATTTGAGGTAAATTATCCTGGTATTTTGGGGATAAATTCTGGAAGAATTGGAAGTTGATTTCTTTTTTTAGTTCTCCTCTAATGGAGTTTGGAAATGTTAGTCCTTGATTTAAAAAAAATATATATTTATGGCCCAGCCAGTGTGGCTCAGTGGTTGAGCATCGGACCCATGCACCAAGAGGTTGCCAGTTCTATTCCCAGTCAGGGCACATGCCCAGGTTGTGGGCCAAATCCCCAGTGGGGGGCATGCAGGAGGTGGACAATTGATGTTCTCCCTCCAATGTTTCTATCTCTCCCTCTCCCTTCCTTTCTCTCTAAAATCAATAAAGGAAAAAAATTATTGTTTTTGAAAAGTTATTGATGAATTCAGGAAATGGCAGAAGGTGAAGAGATTTGTGGCATTAGGTGGGGTTAGAGGGTGAAGCAGGATATAGAAATTGAATAGAAGAACAGAATTAAAGTTGACCTTAACTTCTGAGGCTTTGACTTCCTTCTTGCTAACTCAGTTATAAAACAGAGCACTCTTAATTATACAATTGTCATTTAATTAGCAATCTGCTAGTTACTATTGTTCTCCAAAAGCACAACTTAACTTGATTGCAGACTGTACTGAAGAGAAAATGTCACTTTATATAAGGGAGAAAGTAATCTGTTAGGGCCCAACACATGTCTTCTTTCTTCTTCCCCCCCTCCACACACACACTTATGCTTGAGAGGAAACAACAAAACGTCTGCAGTATTTTATGTCCAGATCAGAACAGAATTGATATGAATAATGCCTTATAATGGAGCTTAATTAAATGCACAGAGTGCTCGTTGCAGTGTACGTAACCTGGATTGACAACTGAAGCCTTCCCAAATTACCTAGAAACTTGGGCAAGCCCCATCTTTGCTCTGGGTCTATAGGGTCAACAGAAAAGAACAGAGTGTTACTGCCTTCGAATTTAGTGATGTAAGCATCTTTTCATGTGCCTGTTGGCCATCTGTATGTCTTCGTCGGAAAAATGACTATTTAGATCTGCCTATTTTTTAATCAGTTTTTTTTGTTTGTTTTTTTGCTATTGAGTTGTATGTGTTCTTTATATATTTTGATAGAATATTAACTCTATTTCTGATAGATGATTTGCAACTATTTTCTCCCATGCAGTAGGTTGTTTTTTCATTTTATTGATGATTTCCTTTGCTGTGCAGAAACTTTTTAGTTTGAGGTAGTTCCCCTTGTTTATTTTTGCTTTTGTTACCTGTGCTTTTGGAGTCAGATCCAAAAAAATCATTGTTAAGACCTGTGTCATGGAGCTTAGGGACAGGCCTAAGTTTTCTTCTAGTTTTATAGCTTCAGGTCTTACATTCAAGTCTCTAATCCATTTTGAGTTAATTTTTGTGTATGGTGTAAGATAGTCTAGTCTAGTTTCATTCTTTTCATGGGCTGTTTAGTTTCCCCAACACCCTTTATTGAAGAGACTGTTTTCCTCCCATTTTATATTCTTGCCCTCTTTTTCATAAAATTGACCATATTTGCATGGCTTTATTTCTAGGCTCTCTATTCAGTTCCATTGATCTATGTACCTGTTTTTATGACAATACCATTACTGTTTTGATTACCCTGGCTATGTGATATAGTTTGAAGTTAGGGAGTGTGATGCCTCCAGCTTTGTTCTTTGTCAAAATTGCTTTGACTATTTGGAGTCTTCTGTGGTTCCATATGGACTTTAGGATTTTGTGTGTCTATTTCTGTGAAAAGTGCCATTGGAATTTTGATAGGGATTGCACTGAATTTATAGTATGGACATTTTAACAGTATTAATTTTTCCAATCCACAAGCATAGGATATCTTTTCATTATTTGTGTCTTCAGTTTCTTTCATCAGTATCTTAGAGTTTTCACTTCTTTTACATTCTTGGTTAAATTTCTTCTTAGGTATTTCTTTGTGATGCAATTGTAAGTGGGATTGTTTTCTTAATTTCTTTCTGATGGTTCATTATTAGTGTATAGAAACACAACTGATTTTTTTATATTGATTTTTGTATCCTGCAACTTTACTGAATTTGTTTATTCATCCTACCAGTTTTGTGATGGAGTCTTTGGGGTTTTTCTGTGTATAGTAACATGTCATCTGCAAATAGTGACAGTTTTACTTTTTTCTTTCCAGTTTGGGTGACTTATTTCTTGTTCTTGCTGAATTGCTCAGGTTAGGATTTCTATTACAGTGTTGAATAAAAGTGGCAAGGGTGGGCATCCTAGTCTTATTCCTGATCATAGAGGAAGAGCTTTTAGCTCTTCACTGTTGAGATTGATGTTAGCTGTGGGCTTGATATATATGGCCTTTATTATGTTGAAGTATATTTCCTCTATACCCACTTTGTTGAGAATTTTTATCCTAAATGGATATTGAATTTGTCAAATGCTTTTTCTGCATATATTGAGATGATCATATAATATGTATTCTTTGATTTGTTAATGTGATGTAGCGCATTGATTGATTTGTGGATATTGAACCATCCTTAAATCTCTCAAGTAAATCCCACTTGATCACTGCGTATGATCCTTTTAATGTATTGTTGAATTTGGTTTGCTAATATTTAAAAAAAATTTTTCTTTATTGATTTTAGAGAGAAAGAAAGGGAGAGAGAGATGGAAACATCGATGAAAGAACACTGGCTGCCTCCTGCCTGCCCCCCACTGGGGATTTGGCCCATAACCTAGGCTTGTGCTCTGACCAGGAATCGAACCGGTGACCTCTTGGTTCACGGGTCGATACTCAACCACTAAGCCACACCGGCTGGCCAGTTTGCTAATATTTTGTTATGGATTTTTGCATCTATGTTCATCAGGGATATTGGCCTGTAAATTTTTTTTCTTGTGGTATATGTCTAGTTTTGGTATCTGGGTAATGCTGGCCTCATAAAATGAGTTTGGAAGTGTTCCTTCCTTCTCTAGTTTTTGGAAGAGTTTGAATTTAATTCTTCTTTGAATGTTTGGTAGAATTCATCAGTGAAGTCATCTGGTCCTGGACTTTTGTTTGTTGGGAGGTTTTTGATAACTGATTTAATCTCCTTACTAGTAATCTGTCTATTCAGATTTTCTGTTTCTTCATGACTCATTCTTCAAAGGTTATATGTCCTAGGAATGTGTTTATTTCTTCTAGGTTGCTCAATTTGTTGGCATATAATTGTTCATAGTAGTCTCTTATGATCCTTTGTGTTTCTGTGGTATCAGTTATAATGTCTCAATTTTTAATTTCTGATTTAATTTCATTTCTATTTTAATGGCAAAATTATGGACAATTTCACATTTCCATTTTCTTGAGTTTAATAAGAAAGTCTAATATTTATTCCAGATTTATAATATTTATCTAAGCAAATTTATTTGATACTCAGGAGAAGAAATAGAGAATGATCTAAGATGCTTCTGAGAATTTTTCTTCTACATAGAAATGATAAGGGCACTCACCTTAGATGTTTTTAAAGCTTTAAGGGCAATATTAATTTTTGTTTGGTTGCTTTTTATCATTTTATTTTTGTCCCTTTAAAATTTATTTTTAAAAAGGATAAAGCCTAATGCTCAAGTAATTTCTGAAATGGTCTTTATAAGATCAAATTTAATTGACTTTTAACTAGTATGGAATTTATAACTGAAAATAGTCTTGTTAAAGTCATCATGTTTGGTTTTTAATTAATTACTTCATTTCTACCTTTTGTTTGTATGGCGAGAAGTGTATATAATTGCAGCAAGATTCCAGTCCTTTATAATGCAAGTGATGACATAAAATTGTCAAACATTTCTCATACGCGTCTAACAAATTATTCTTGGGCTTGTTCAGTGTTGTTGCTTTTGGCAATGGAAGACTATTAATTTTAGATTTTTACACTTTTGTATACTGTATCTCTTCATTTTTGATTTGTCACTTGTTAGGTTTAAATGTCAGTATAAATTTTGGCCCACTTGCTAGGTTGTTCTAAAGTGTTCTCCCTTTCCCCCCTTTTAAAATGTAAACATAAATGCTAAAACTGTCCAGAGAATGTGAATGTTTCATAAAATTTTGTATCTTTAGATCATTGGCGATAGTTTGTAGATTTATTGAACATTAGTAGTAAAGAAGAAAATTCTTGCCAACCATGTTGACATTATGAAGATGCCTGATAAGAAACCTAGTTTTTTGATCAGCATTCCATGTTTATATAGTCTGAAAGATAAGTGAATGATATCTAACACTTTAATAATGCTTTAACGTTTACAAAGCTTTTAGATTCATTGACCTTATTATTTTGCACTTTTGAGAGATTAGGAAGTGGCTGAATTGAGACCAAAACTCCTCCTTGAACTTGAAATTCTGTATCTTTTTTTCTACGTCATGTCGCCTTTTTCCAGAACACATTTTTTCCTTTAGAATATACCAAGATTAAAAGGCAGATATTCCTGAGTGGGATATTACTAGTTTCTGTTAAAGATAGTCTTTCCCCATCACTCATGGGGCCATGATACAATGTGATTTGTTTTACTAGGACTCATTTCTCTTGATGATTCAACATATAGCTGATGATGCTATATGTAGTTTTGGTCACAGTGGTTACTCCTATAAAGTATTTTTTCTTTTGAAAGTTGTAGGAGGAAAATACTGATCTCCAGAGTTGTCCACAGCAGATTGGAATATAATAGTTACGTCTTCAGTGAAAGTCACCTAAAGCAATACTCTTTTGATCTTTTCTACCAGTGTATTTGGACAGATGAAAATGTCCCCAGAGTAGCCATTTTCAAGACTTTCTTGGTCTTTTTATACATATGTGCCACTTTTACACTTTATAGTACTTGTTTAAATATAAAAAGTTGTTTAAAATTGTCATTGTATACCCTGGCCAGCGAGGCTCAGTGATTAGAGCATTGGCCCTCAGACCAAGGGTCACAGGTTCGATGCCCGGTCAAGGGCACAAACCTAGGTTGGAGGTTTGATCCCTGGCCCTGGTTGGGGTGTATATGGGAGGCAACCAATCAATGTGTTTCTCTCACATA